CATCCAATTCAATATTATCTTCTGACTGGCAGCAGCTCCCAAGGGTTTTAGACTGGGATCTTTTCCCAGTCCTACCTGGAGGTATTACACTTTTAAAACTCTTCTTTTCCTTTTTTTAACCCTTTCCTTATTTTAACCCATATTAACTCTCTCCCCTTCTCACACCACTTCTGTCTCCTTGCAATTGACGTGCTGCACAATTATTGTGTGACATAATTTATGGATAATCCTCATATAAACCTGGGTAAAAAAAGAAAAAAGAAAACACCAAGATTCAAACTTCTCTTAAAACAGTAAAATTATTCTCATTACGTAAAAATATACTTGTTTACATGTGACAGCCTCATCGACTGGAATGAAATAAACAGATGGTTATTAATTTTTGCTATGTTTAGGCATCTACTGTTTTTGGTTGCTTCGAGTGAGCAATAAAATATACCTCGCTGATTCAGATTCCAGGCCTGCAGAAGTGTATTAATTCAATATATCATTGCTGCGAAAACATTTTTGTACACTCTTAGATAAAACAATACACAGACATAATTTAGTGCTCTTATTTCCCAAAATAAGATGCATGCAACATATTGGTAATGCTTTTCCCCCTTGTTTTATGTTCACAATTAGTAGAGAACAATCTTTCTGTGTTAAGGACAAACATAATTTATTGATAATATTACAGGGTCCTAAAAGTGCATAATAATAAACAATGCATCCTTTCGTTTTTCTTTGAAACCCACCACGATGATTTAGGAACATTGGAAGCTGCCTTATTATACCAAGTCAGACCTATCTAGCTCAGTATTGTCTAAACTGACCAGCAGTGACGCTCTAGAATTTCAAGCAGGAATCTCTATGCAGATGACGGGGATTGACCCTTCCCCAAACCGCTAGGGGCTGTGTATTAGATATAACATAGGCCCTTCCTGCAGGCTTTCTATCTAAAGGTAAAGAGAAGACAAACTAAAGGTAAAGAAGAAAAGAAAGGAATGTAAAAGGAGTGAAAATGGGGATTTCATGGTCTGCCTTGTTTGATGGGTCAAGAACACAGTGCTTTTCAGATTAGGGTTACCAGACGTCCCCGTTTCCCAGGGACAGTCCCTGGATTTGCAAATTTGTCCCCGGACAAATTCCATCCCCGGAATGTCCCCGGATTTCATCTAATGTCCCCGGGAAACATGGCAGCGGCAGTCTCAGCAGCCCAGAGCCAGCCTGGTGGTGCAGTTGGCTCTGGCTGGCTTCAGGAGCTGTTCGTTGCCATGGCGCCCGCCATTTTGCCCCGCTTGAAGTCCCCATATGATGTGTTGCGCACAAGACACATCAAATGGGGACTTGGTGTAAGGGCTGAAGATGTGTTACTGGGCGCCGCCGCCGGGCAAGAGCTGTGCAGGGTCATTGAGCTTGGTGTGCCACTGCAACTTGGCGCTCAGCTCGCCGTTGGGGCCACTGTCCAAGGCTCAGGCTCGGGCTCCGGGTGGTGCTTGGGCAGCTGCTGCCCGGCTTCACCATTGTGCTCCTCAACTTGCAAGCGGTGGCTCAGCTTGTTGGCCAGCTCATGGATGGCCATCGCGGATGAAAGGCGAGCAGGAGACGAGCTGATTCGGCCCAAGCGCGCCTCCTCCTGCTCGCTCGCCGCCAGCTCTGCCCCGAACCCACTGACTGGGCATGCCTTATATCAGATCCCTCTGACTATAGAGAGGAGGGAACCCAGGCTCTTGTACTATGTAAAGGTAAAGGTAAAGGGACCCCTGACCATTAGGTCCAGTCGTGACCGACTCTGGGGTTGCGGTGCTCATCCGCTTTATTGGCTGAGGGAGCCGGCGTACAGCTTCTGGGTCATGTGGCCAGCATGACTAAGCCGCTTCTGGCAAACCAGAGCAGCGCACAGAAAAGCCGTTTACCTTCCCACCAGAGTGGTACCTATTTATCTACTTGCACTTTGACGTGCTTTCAAACTGCTAGGTGGGCAGGAGCAGGGACCGAGCAACGGGAGCTCACCCCGTCGCGGGGATTTGAACCGCCGACCTTCTGATCTGCAAGTCCTAGGCTCAGTAGTTTAACCCACAGCACCACCCGCGTCCCCTTGTACTATGACAACATTCTTAATTGTTCTGAAGCAACTTTATCAGTACCGACAAGCCTTGGGAGCATAGGAGCCAACTCCTAAGGCCGAGGGGTCTTTGGCCCCACCATAAAATATTTGAGGGGGCCGGAGCCCCCTCCTAAAGTTGATGGGCACTGCCCTTCAAATGGTGTGCATGCACTGCACCATGTGGTCAATTATGTCCCGCACCTGTTAGCATTCCCTCGGGCTCTAACTCATATAATAACATTTACACCTTTTATAACTTTTTAGAACACCAGCACTTTTAGTACTAGCATTGGAGATTTGACGATAATTAGCAAAGTTTGAAGAAAAAGTATGAAGTTTGTTGCTAAGAGTTCTTTGGGATCAATATGTTTTTCAGGTGTTTTGGCTAGGATAGTTCAGTCGATAAAGAAATTGTGCTTGTAGGAAGCTTCCTTTGAAGGTTTAGACCATTGCTTCTGGTCATTATGTTTTTACATTTTCTGTAACAACCAGTGTTAAACTCTTCTTAGCATTGTACTGCGTGTCCTCTGCAGAAAATCAATATGGACTTTAAAAAAAACTCAAATCCGAAGGAGCACTACAGTTAATTCCTGCTTGAATAAATTTATCTCCTCTTCCTGAGAGCTGGAGGTAACTTTAGCCTGCCTAACCATCAAACAGCCTAAGTTGGCTGGTATTTGGAGAGTCGGTCACAAAATATCAGCTACTTTCCGTCTGCGCCTCTTATTCATGCTCTGCGCTTGGAGCAGATAAATCAAAGGCCAATACTCACTTGTCTGTCACATGACATATTCGCCAACTTGTCACATGACATAGTCACCACAATTTCTGCTCCTGCATTACAGTGTTTTGCAGACGTCTTTTCTGATGGCCTTTTTGCTTTTTGGGGTGCTCCCAGTGTTGTCAGCATAGACAACTGGCATTATATTCTATTGGCAACAAGTGGGAGTCAGTTTTTATAGAGTGAGTTTTGCAATATTCGATCCCTTTCTTCATCTTTCATTTTGGGCAATGTGTCTGTGTATAGGGCTCTACCATCCATTTAATGGGGAACCCTGGGATCACCGCCACAAAGGGGGCGTGGGTCACTGCTTCAAACCCCCCCCCATTTAGGAAGATAGACTAAAGGATTCCACCCAAGGCCTGAAACCGCCAAAGTTGTGTCGCTTTGCTACAGAAAAGGCAAAATCTGCCAATGCAGGAAAATTCCTTTCCGGCCCTTCAACCCTGCGTACCTGTGGAGAAGAGGTTAACCTGCAAAAGAAGACTTAACTGAGGAAGGGGAGGGTGGGAGAAGCTCTGGAGCTGACTGTCGCTTCGCAGGTAAGATTCACCTTCTGTTGTGTGGGCAGGACGGTCCCTCCCCTTACCTGGCCAATCCCCTGGCAACGTCTCCCCAGGCGGGATTGGGCAATTGGCTGAGGTAGGCGGAGATCTCCAGGTATCCAGCCTGGGGAGGATGAAGCCAGCCCGAACTACCAGGAGTCACACTGGGATCCGGGGGGCTGCACACGACCACTCAAAAGGCGCCCCCATTTGATGTGGGAGGAGTCATTATGATATTATTGTTTTAATTTTTTTTGTAACTGCTTTAATCACCATGGGACAGTTCAGCACTCTCATGGCCAGTTTAATTTTAAATCCTACTTCAGTATTCACACAGGCAATAAACCCATTGGCACTGGTAGGGTGACTACAGACACTTTACTTGGTTGGGGAATTGCATTGCAAAATTCAGAGAAGTGAGTAAAGGATGTCTGTGTTTCTTCCCTTAAAAGTTAAAAATCAAGGAATGACATTTCTGAGCACTAAGTTTAAAGTCAGGGCGCATTTTCTACAACTAGAAGCCGTGTGAGGAAAATCACAATATGTTCTGCAATAATTTATAGGTTTTGAGAAGGTACAGGCAGACAACAGAAAGAAAAAGGAGGAGGCCAGGAAATCCCATGCACAGAAGACATGCTAATTTGAAGAAGAAGAAGAAGAAGAAGAAGAGGAAGAAGAAGAAGAAGAAGAAAGGAGCTGAACAGAAGCAGGGAGATAACTAAAACAACAACACAGAAGGTAAGGTGAGAAAAAGCAGCAACTGCAAGAAACAGTGAATTTCTTAAGGGCTCCATATAGTAGAATTCTGTAAAAGTGATTTTTGTTGCATATCAGGCAGCAGATCAGCACTCAAATGCTATGTAAGTTTTGTCCCAGTTTAACTGTCCTGGGACCCTTAAAGACTCCTGAATTGTACAGTGGTACCTTGGGTTAAGTACTTAATTCGTTCCGGAGGTCTGTACTTAACCTGAAACTGTTCTTAACCTGAAGCACTACTTTAGCTAATGGGGCCTCCTGCTGCCGCTGCGCCGCCAGAGCCCGATTTCTGTTCTTTTCCTGAAGCAAAGTTCTTAACCTGAAGCACTATTTCTGGGTTAGCGGAGTGTGTAACCTGAAGCGTATGTAACCTGAAGCGTATGCAACCCGAGGTACCACTGTAGTTGGGTGAGGGGGTGAAAATTTGCTGTTGGGGATTCCTTGACCTCCTGATTTAGAATAGTTGTTTAACCTTGGCTGAACAACAAATTCACCAGTGTGTATAGTGTTAGTTCCTGGGGTAAGGGAAAGTACCTGAACAGGGAACTTCCTGTAGAGGTGAGGAGGAAGAGGAAGCCAGTGTGGGCCTGGAGGTCAAGAAATCTTGTTTGCTGTTCTTAAACGAAGCAGTTCCTGTTTGAGTTTACCTGAAGTAGCTGGAGTAGCTGTTTCTAAGAAAGGCAGCCCTGCTGGACAGCGACACAACCCAGACAGCTACTCTATAAATTTACATTTAGAAACTTTGTCAACGCTTCCAGTATTATCACCATCATAGAATTGGGATCACAAGAGTCATCTGGTCCAACCCCCTTAAATGCAGGAATCGTTTTGCTCAAGGTGGGGCTCAAACCTACAACTCCGAGATTAAGAGTCCCATGTTCTACCGACTGAGCTATCTGATACCATGATCATCTCATGTCTTTTATCCAAGGAACTCAGGGTGGCATACATAGTTCATTCCTCCTGCTATCCTCATGTTGAGAGGAGTAACCAACTGAGCTTCAGAGGTAGGAGTGAACCCAGGTCCTGCAAGTCCCATTTTAACTAGTACACAACACTGGAGCTCCATTTTAAGCTGTAGCTATACAAGGAGGCAATGGCATGTAACCTCTTGCCAAGCCGTATGTCTAGCATTGCTCTCTCAATAAAGGGAATAACGGGAGGGGGGAATTTGGTAAATCTATCAAATCTGGATGATGAGTATGATGATTCACCCATCAATTTATTACAGTCAATAGACCAAAAATAAAACAAAAGCATACAGTACAACAGAATCTGGAAGCAAAACAGGTTCAAAAATAAAGACGATTCTATCGAGCTCTGGCAATCTCAGGTTGATCCCTGGAGATGGTCCTTCTAGTTTCAGATGGTGAGCTGTTCTCTTGTTCTCACTGCTAGCGATAGAAATATAGCCGCTATCAGTGACACCTTGGGGGTTTTAATCTTCCATCAGATATTTAACATAGAATTGAATTGACCTTCCTGGTAATTTGATCAAATGCTGCTGAAATTACAAAACAGAAGGGCATGTTCTAAAGATTCTGCCTCCTGATTATTACAGTGGCAAACCCTTGAGGAAAGAGGGCTGCCAGTATATCTGCTCCATGGCGTTTAGGGTGGAAGAACATTAAAAGTGGCCAGAGTCAAACCAAACCAAACCAAACCAAAACAACACACCTGTGGCATTTAGCAACATATTGTTGTGTGCCACCCCAGTCTCTGAGCAGTGCAAAATTCCAGAGGTTCCAGCCAATTACCCAGGGTATGGTTTCTTCAGAATGAGGGACAGCAGAGACTGTGGTGTCATTATGATATATGGTTTATTTACACATACCGTATTGGCCTGAATATAAGTCGCACTTTCCCCCCAAATTCTGACCGTGAAAAGTTAAAGTGCGGCTTAAATTCGCGACCTTACAAAAATTGGCTATTACGGTATCACTGCTGAAACAGATGTAAGGTAAAACGGAACAAAAAAAAAATGTTTTATTGCTGATTTGCGAGCTTGAGACTGTTCATTTGCCATTTATGGGTGTGAGTGCCTGCGAAATTGTAGCAACTGAATAGCGATTTTAGCGATTGTAAAGTAACTCTTGCGGGCTTGCAAGATCAAAGGCTTAAATTGGCTCGGAGTTACAATTCTACCAACAGCAGTGATTTTCAGCCTGTAACCCAATTTTAAGGGAGCGGCTTATATTCGGGTATTGTCTTTCTCTCTCCACCCGCCCCCTTGAATTTTAAAGATGCGGCTTATTTGCGGGTGCGGCATATATTCGGGCCAATACAATATATACAACCTGAGCCTATGATAGAGGGGTTCACAGCATTAACAGCTTCTCCTATAGCCACAGTCTTGGATTCCAGCAGAAATCAGGAATGGCTCTGTCTCTCAGCTGCCCAACCTTCTTCCATCTTTTGTCTTTCTAACCACCAGATGTTTGAGAGAGCGGGGCTCACCCATTTGTCTTCTGGCACAGAGTCATCTTGTTGCCTCAATGACTCCTACTTAGGGGTCATTACCAAGAAACTTATCTGCCTATTTCAGCAATTGGATCAAGGAATTAGAAGGGACTCAGGCATGCAGCTCACCCGCTTCTCAAATTCACAACATTACCTCCCTCCAAGAATAAAACATCTGTCCCCAGATGTGCAAGCAACAGAAGAGCAGCTTCCCTGTAGAAAAATAACGAGGTGAAGAAAGTCATTAAAACACACATCCTCAAAAACAGATAGCAAAGCACAATCACACTTTTAACCCAATACAACAATAGTTTCTGCCTGCCTCCAAAGAACTCACAACAATATAGATTCCTAAAGTAGGCAGCTAACTGGAAAGGATCTCTATAAGAGATACCTACAAAGCAAGGTGAACGGGTTGTATATGAATGAGCCAGAAGAGCCTGTAAATAAGTATCCCAAAGAATTTTGATAGCCAGTCACTGGAAAGGAAATAACATTCCAACAAAAAGAGAATGGTTGGGAAAACTCTGCGAGTACCTGGAGTTAGCTAAACTGACGGATTTAATAAGGAGAAAACCTAAAATTATGGTCAAGAAACAGTGGGATTGTCTAAATGAATATTTACAAAACCAGGGCTCAGTTACCAAAATTTGGTTGTGTTTAGACTAATCTTCTGAAAAATATAAAGATTGTAAAGTGAAAAATTAAGGAAAACCTATAGGAAGGCTATGAAGAACAGAGGTTATGGTGATTGAAGTATAAAAGACATGTGGCGTAAACGGTGGAAGTCTTTTTAAAACATTTTAATTAAGCCTGATATCTTGCAAGATGGAAATATATAGCCGTATGCAAGTACAGATCTGAAACTGTTGTTTATGGTGAACACTTTTCTATTTTCTAAATTTCTATTTTAAATCTTTCTTTCTTCTTTTCTTCTTATCTTCTTTTTTACTTTCTTCATTTATTCTTTTTTTCCTCCCCCTCTTTCTTTCTGAATATTGCTTTATAGATGTATAAATAACTATGCTTATGTATATATGTATGATACTCATTCTCATTCTCATTTGATACTCTTTTTTGTATTCAAGAAAATTTATAATAAAATTTTAAAAAAGAAAAAAAAGAAAAAGAAAATAAATATCCCAAAGTCTTTGTTTCATCAGGACACATAGTTTGTTGAAGGAGGAGGATGAATTGCGAGTCCAATACAAATACAGTGGTACCTTGGTTTTCAAACTTACTCCGTTCCAAAACCAAGGTGAGCTTTCCCATAGAAAGTAATGCCAAAAGCACTAATCTATTCCAGACTTTTAAAAACAACCCCTAAAACAGCAATTTAACATGAATTTTACTATCTAACGAGACCGTAAAATGAAAGCAATAATCAATGTACTGTACTAGAAAATAAAAAAGACAGTATTGTAGATGATAAAAATTAAAAATAATTTTTTCCCCCTTACCTGCACTGATGATAGTCAGCTTTTATCCATTTCTGCAGCCACACAATCAATCAATCAATCAGTAGCTGAACTGGGTTCCACACAGTCTCAAAAACAAATTAACTGAGAAAGCCTCAAAAACAAAAACGCAAATTAAGAGCAAAAACAAAAGCAAACTTAATCCATTCTGGAAGTCTGTCTGGCTTCCGAAATGTTCAGAAACCAAGGCGCAGCTTCTGATTGGTGCAGGTGCCCCGGAAACAACAGCTGTATTTTAATATTCCACAGCATTCTTTAAGAATTTAGAAATAAAACTGATGGATTATTTAAATCCCAATTAATAATATTAATTGGGGATTTAAATGGGGTAATTGACCCGCAACTAGACAGATCCGGAGGAAATAAAAATCATGGGAAATTACCATCCAACTTTCTAAAAATGAGTGAAAATTTAGATTTAGTAGATTCATACCCCACACATCTTACTGGGTTGCCCCAGACACTCTGGGCAGCTTCCAACATATATAATGACATAATATTGATTCGTATACTGTTGGTGGATTTTTGTCGTTGTCTTGTTGGGCTGTGTATGTGATAAAGGGGAGCCATACCGGGGTGAAGGCGTCTTCTTCTATTTGTCCCCATGTCAGTTTCAGTTTATTGGTTATTTCTTTCTAGTAGGGCTGTTTCCCGTACTGTTTGTTTTGTACCATTGGTCCATGTTTACTCCTGACAGGTCTCTTCAGTGTCTGGCTATGGTGTTTCTGGCTGCTGAGAGTAGGTGGGTTATGAGTTCTTTGTGATGTAAATTATTGTCTTGGAAGATGTTTAGTAGGGCCAATTCTGGAGTGATTTCTAGCACTTGCTTGGTAATTTTACATATTTCTTGTATGACTGTTGTCCAACTTCTCTCACCACCAAAGAAACACAAGCAAACAGCAGAGAACCTGCACAAGCGACGCTGACTCCCCCATATATTAAGTAAAACACCGACCCCACCCCCACTCACCTTTCCCCCCTCCACCTCTTCCCCCTTTTTCTTCCTAATATAACACTAATGTCTCAACAAATGAAACTGATCTGTTAAAATGTTACTTGAAAAAAAATAAATAAGAGAGACATTGCTCATACTTTGTAAACCAAGAAAATCTTTAATAAAATACATTAAAAATGTAATAACATAATAAAACATTAAACATTAAATAAACCACCCTATACTGGATTGCCTTCAGATGGCTTGGGGGTCAGATAGCGCCATACCCTCCAACATTTCCCCAGTGAAAATAGGGACATCCTAAGCGGGACATTCCTGGAACAGATCAGAAACCGGGATGGCTTCTCTAAATCAGGGACGTTCCCTGGAAAATAGGGAAACTCGGAGGGTCTTTGCCTTTGCATTAGCACTGTGAAGCAAGCATTCCACCCCATCTGTCTCCTTCCTCTGCTCTTTCTCTCTCATTTTCTTCTGCCAATGCCACCTCCTGCTCACTCCTGCCTCCACCGTCTAGGGGAAAGTAACCAAGGGACGCATAGCCAACTGCCTGAGCCGCCCATCATTGTAATTCCTTGTGTAGGAGCTGCTCCGCTGGGGATCTGATTCATTCAGCGTTATGCAAATGCTCATAGGCAATGCTTTTCTGAATGACTCAGGCAATATTTATAGTTCATTGGACTGCACTGCCGGTAGCACTCTTCTGGGGATAGTTCTCAACTCCCTAATTTAGAGGAGTTACAAAATTATGCAGCTCAGCGCAACTAGAAGAATACTTAGGAGCCTCTTGGCTATCTCTTGCTGTGCATCATATTTTAACTGGGCCTGACTGGCATTTGTTTCTTCCAGATGTAGGGCTTTTTGTTTTCCACTACTGTCTTAGACTTGCACTGTGGGGACATGTTCCTTTTGAGAAATGCATATATTCTTTGCTTTGCTTTCATGTCTCAGGGGCTCTTGGGCTACTGTTGTCTGCAAATCTCTGCCATCTTCTCTCTTCCCAACCCCTTTTT